GACTGATAGCCGAGGGGTCCTGCATCGGCTGGAGTCGCTGGTCTTCCAACACAACCGACCGAAATTCTGGGCGTGGTATTGTAATGACAATTTCGCCGTCATCGAATGTGATCAGGTGTTCACGTTCAAGGAATGTCTCAACAGCGTCTTCCCGGACATCCAGTTTACGATGAAGGAGGAAGAGAACAGCCACCTGGCCTCCCTTGATGTCCTCTTCTGTCACAAAGATTTTGGTGGCCTTAATACTAAAGTATTCAGGAAAGCGACGAACACGAAACAAGTATTCAATTACAAGAGTAACCACCCAATCAGCCACAAACGCAGTTGCGTAAGGACGCTCTACTGGTCTGTTGAGACGCGCTACAGCGAGCCGGAAGATAAAATTACGTAGGTACAATACCACAGACGGCTATTCAGAGAAAATGGCAACTCGAGCAACTTTATCCACCGGTGCATGCAGACGCGAATTGTCGAACAGGCGGCAGCAGTGCGCGAAATGATGCCAATTGTGAAGTTGCGGCTCATCCAACAAAACCCGGCCACACACTCAAAATTGATGAGGCCGAAAGTCTCGCAAGAGTTGACAATCGGGTGAGGTGAGAATTATTTGAGTCACGGTTCACGGGCACAAAATCCATAAACAAGTGCAACGAGTTACCCAAGCCATATTTGGTGCTGAGACTCAACTTGGCCAAATGAAGTCGCCATTTGGGGAACGGACAGGCCACCGCGTCATCCTATAACAACACCGGAGGTCCAGATAGCCTAGCGATAATCACACCCGAGTCCACCACGCGTGATGAAATTTCAACTGTTCAGAGCCCACATGCCGTGCAACAAACTATCAATACACAAGAGGGCAATTACCGTTAATTGCTGTTGTACGTTAACAGTAATGACTGTATCCTATCAATGCCGCAAACTCCTGTGTATATGCTACCCATATCTGCTATCGCTGTCTGATTAGTCTCTAATGACGAATCCGTGAATCTCGAAACGTCAGCGATCGAGTCGTCTTCTTCTCAATGCGTGACAAGTTGCAAAACCAAAAAATGGGTTCAATATACGTATAGAAATTTACCAAAATTGTTTTTTATTGACAAAGCAGCTGACTGCTGAAAATTTTGTCAGTAGTTTTACAGAAATTTGGAATCGAACGCAATTCGCCTAAGCTACAGAATCGGTCAAGGCATGACAAGGCATATAGAGTAACCGAAATTTGAGCGTACACCATCACAGGCTGGAATCAGAAAATATGATGATACAAAGACATAACGGTCGCCATATCTCTTTACCATCAAATCACGGATGTTTATTATCATATATTTTATTTAGCCGTTTCATCTGCCTTTTTATTTGGTCACTACCCATTTGTGTAATCCTGGATTATCACTATGTACGTGTTCCTGCTAAAAATGGCAAACCGAATAGTTTTAAAAGAAAGGGGCATAATTATATAGGAACAGAATAAATTTTCGTTTTTAAAGCTTTTTGTTTTTTTCTGGCAGTTTGTTTGAACGGGTCAGCGCGCCGTATCCGCCTCACTCACGTTTCTCCCTACCCCCTCATGGTGCGTGGTTGTTTGGTATTGTTGGCCATGCGTTATTCTATATTTTTTGTGTACCTCACTTGCCTTGCAGATACTTACGCTTAAAGACTACGCTTGATAAGTGTTACTTATTAGGTTGAGTGCATCATTGCAGTTTATTATCCGTATTGTACACATTATTTTTGACGTTCTGCCTTTAAATTTTACAACTTTGTGCAAAAGATGAGTAAAATTCTCTCCTGTTCACTTTTAGATCCAGAAAAAGCCCACCGGTAAGCAAAAAACGCTGCTTCAGCATCGTTATATGTTGTCCGCACCTTAGGGACAAAATATATTCTCTGTTTTCCTATGTTAATTACGTCCTGTAGGTTTATTTGCGTTAACAGTGCAACGCATGCGTCGTAAGATTCTTATCACCGTTATGTTCGTAACTAGGCGATGCAGAACATCGCAATTTCGACAGATCCTGCTAGTTGTAGGAACACAACTCTATTACATTACCCTACGGCCGCCGCCCAGTCCGGATAAAAGCCGTTATTGAAAGCAAAATCCTATGTTTTTTGTACTTGGTCGTTGAAACATGCAAAATATAAGTATATTAAGTTCGAGGTTATATGTAGTTTTGTGTTGAAAGAAAAGCACTGCTTTGCACTCGTCGATTGTAATGTACTGTATACTTTGCACACCGAAACATTTTGATGACTGGTTTAGTAATGATTTGTGTAGAGTATCACTAGCCTAAAAACTGAGAATAACAAAAACGGTCTCATCCGACAGATGTGTCGTCTTTTGAGAGTAAACGATTTAGCTTTCGGGATTGCGCGATATTTGAGGAATGAAGCCACGAGAGCCTAGGTAAGTTGACGTGTTCTGTGTATCTTTTGTAACAAGTTGAAGGGGAACACCACTAGAAACTCTGAATCAAGTGACATATTCGTATTGTACGACTAAGGTGGTTGGCAAGACAGTGCATAAGCGGAACGTATTTTGTGTATGTATAGGCATTTATATGTTTAGGGGGTGCGTTAGCGACGGCGTTGTTACACTTAAAAAATTCCCAAACCCTTTTCTCATTCAGTGGAACGCTCATGAGCATTGTTATTTGCATTTTGTATTGCACACCATCAATGTGCTTAGTAGAATTTCAATATGAGAAAAATTTTATAAACATTTTTTTTTT